CCAGGCACTTGGGGTTCCTGGTTGAGGACCATCCACCTGGGAGGTCTGATCATCTTCCTGGGTCTGGTTCTCCTGGTGACCCTGGTAAGGTGCTGCCTCAAAATGACAGGGAGGCTCTGCAAACAAACCGCATCCATATGGGTTGTTCAGGGGCCTGCCAGACCCAGCTCTTCCCCCACATTCAGGGGTGGATGATGGTCCTATCAGATTTCATATGCTGTTTCAGCAGCCAAGCAAGGATCTGGGGCTGGACTGTTGGGAAAGACAATCATGGGCAGCTTCTCATCCACTGCCTGGTTGTGTAAGAGTGGCCCTGGGCCTGAAACATTTCCTTGAAAAGAGATAAAGAGCCCTCATAGCCTATATTGGCCATATCTCTTTGCTCTGGCTTATCCTCCCCTGTTTGGGTTTGCCGTGTACTTCCTTATTCTGCTTCAGCACATAGGTCAATGGACCTTAGGCATGCCCTCAGCTTTCTATATTTCAGAGCCTATGAGGGAGGGCATGGGGTCCTTCTGCAGCACAAAAGGGATATATCAGATCATCTCCCTTTGTTGACTATGGAGTAAGAGCTGACCACAGGGGACGGACGCTGGCTATTGGAGCTGACCTTGTTCTGTCTCTTCTCTGTGTGAGTAAAGTGTTGTTCCATCTAGTGCCCATGTGAGTCATGTCTTTCTTGGCATCCCTGACACCTGCAAACCATGCAGTGGGTTGACATCCTGGGACTACTGCTCCCGGTAGTAGGCAACAGGTGTCATTTGCTCGACAATTACCATAATGAAACACTAGCTGAAGGAAAGGAATGCCCACTGAGAAAGGATGTAACTGAGGGACCTGACCATGTTGGAATTGTGACCCAGATGGGGGAGTGTAGGGTGGTATCAGTGAACTGATTGAGCTGAGAAAGTATAAACAAGAGCTGACTATGGAGGATAGAAGAAGGGGCAGGCACTACAGGCAAAGGAAATTATGTGCAAAGGCCCTGTGGCAGGAGGAAACACAATATATTTGAAAAACAGAAAGAAGGCTGGTATGCCCTCAGAGCATAAAGTGAGAAGAAAGATGTGGCTAAAAGATACTGGAAAGGGAGGCAGGGACCAGACAGGGCAGGGCCTTCTAGGTCATTGAGGATTTGAGTCTGTATCCATTGAGAAATGGACAGCACAGAAGAGTTTGTTAAGGAGAGTGTTGACACAGTGAGCGAGATTTGTTTTAAAGAGATGAGGCAAGTGGCGGTGGGCAAAAATGAATCGAAAGGGAGGAAGTGGACACAGAGATAAATGAGACCATTGCCAACATCCTGGAGAGAGAGAATGGTAGCTTAGACCAGTGGTTCTCAACCAGGGAAATTTTACCCCTCAGAAGACACCTGCAATGTCTCGAGACATTTTTGGTTGTCACATTGTGCGTGGGGGATGCTACTGGCATTTAGTGGGTAAAGGTCAGGGATGCAACTAAATAAATATCCCACAATGCACAGGACTGCTCCCACAACAAAGAATTATCTAGACTGAAATATAAATAATGCCTAGATTGAGAAACCCTGGCTCACACTATGATGATGGTCACAATAGAGTACATGTTTGAGAGATAAATAAGAGGTTAAAATCAGCAGTAATTAATGACTGATTGATTACGAGGAATGAGGGGAAGATTATCAAAGATAACCCTCAGGTTTCTGGCTTGCTATCCTGGATGAGTGGGTGGGCCACCCACTGCGATGAAACACGCTGGAGGAGATGAGGGTTTGGTGGAGGAGGATAAGGAGCTCATCTTTAAACCTGGTAAACTGAGATGTCTTTAAGACATCTAAAAGAAGTCAAAGAGGCAATTCTCTTAGGTCTACAACTCAAGAGGGGAAGCCTGAGCAGGAGATGCGCCTTTGAGATGCTTCTGTCAATAGAACGGGAGCCATGGGCTTGAATGAGTTAATCTAGGAAAAGAGCAAAGAGTGAGGAGAAAAGAGGGCCCAGGACTGAGTCTTGAGAAACTCCTGGGAGAGGAGCACAAGCCAGCAAAAACCAGGTAGAGAGGTGGAAAGAAAACTGGGGCATGTCACATCCCAGCAGCTTCGAGTGGGTCTATTTCCCCCACACCTTCGCCAACATGGAGCACCACAGATCTTTTTTTTTTTTTTTTTTTTTTAAAGATTTTATTTATTTAAGTTTTTCCCCCCAAAGCCCCAGTAGATAGTTGTATGTCATAGCTGCACATCCTTCTAGTTGCTGTATGTGGGACTCGGCCTCAGGATGGACGGAGAAGTGGTGCCTCGATGCGCACCCGGGATCCGAACCCGGGCCACCAGCATTGCAGCGCGTGCACTTAACCACCAAGCCACAGGGCCGGCCCACCACAGATCTTTTTAAGCTTTGCTAAACTGATCAGTTAAAAAAAAATCTTGTTTAAAGATATCAAAATTTTAATTGACAATTTTGGGGTAAGTAATGAGATTAAGTATCTTTGCCATGTTTATTGGCCATTTAAATTTCTTTTGTAAATTGGCCAATGCATGTCATTTGTTCATTTTTCTATATTAAATATTCATATTTTTATAGATTTGTATGACCTTAGTATATATTATGATTTTTCACTCTTTGCTATCACATTCTTAAATATTTCCCCACAGTTTATCCTTGTTTTTTTTTTGAATGTCTTTTTCCATGCCGTTGTTTAACATTTTTATGAACTCAAGATTGTTGACTTTCTCTTCCTGCTTTGATCTCATGCTAGAAGAACCTGTTCCTTCCCAAGGATCATAAAAATATTCTCCTATATTTTCTTAGGATATTAAATCATTTTTTATATTTAAACCTTTAATCTAGCTAAAATCTATTTTTGTGTATGATGAGTGATTGGGATTTTTTTCCAAATGGTGAGCCAGTACTTTCAACACCAGTTATTGAAAAATACATTCTTTCAATCTCCTTTTATGTTATACTAAATCCCATATCCATTAGTCTGATATTGGGCTATCTCTTTATTCTTTAGATCTCTTGGTATATCCATGTGCCCAAACCAGGCTGTTTTAATTACTACAGCTTTATGGTATAGTTTGATATCTAGTAAGGCAAATATGTATTATTTTATAATCAGGAAAAACCATAAAGGTTTGTGTAGATATGTATGTGTACATATATGTGTTTATTCCTACATGTAGAGGGTTGATGTGTGCATGTGCATGTGTTCTTACACATAGAAGGTTGATGGAGAAGTACTTTTGACTAGGACTGGTTTGGGAGCCACAAAGAAGTTTGAGACAGTGGCTGGAGCACAGAGTTTCCAGGGAAGTTTGGAAAAATAAAAGGAGAATTGGAGACTATAGGGCTCTCAAAGGGGGGTTGCTACTCACACATACGAGGCCTGTAGATTGAAGAAAGCAGAGAGGAAAGCTGGTGACATGAACTGATCTGCGTTTTTTTTAGACACTAGCACCAACTCCATTTCAAGGCCCAACCTTTTCTCAGCTCCCTGGAAATCACTGGGGATATTAAGGTCAGCCATTCATCCCCTGGAGCCGATGTTACTGACCTCAGGTCTGGGTGCAGCATCAGCAGCTGTTTGAAGGTTTATGGCCGCCTGGGTGCAGGGAGTCCCTCAGCTTTCAGTCATATGCTTTACCTTTCACCGGCTCACAGTTTTCAAAGAAAATAAGTCTTGTAATTCATCAAGCATTCACTGAATGTCTGGCACCCCCAATGCAGACCCTGTACAAATCCGCCATCCAGGGCCAATTTCCATCCAACTTCGGGTGAGTGACTGGTGTTCTTGTGCTTATACACACACACACACACACACCCACCCTTAGCTTGGGACTCTCCTCTCTGGGCTCAGAGGTCTCAAAGCTTCTCTAAAGGCCCTCTTTGGCCCCACCTGCACAGGACAGGAAACCAGTGGCACACGAGGCCTAGCTCTCCAGGAGATGACAGGCAGGCCCAGGACATAGGTGGAGACTCAGCTCTTCTTTCCAGATATTCAGGAGCCACAAGGAGGGGCGGTCCAACAGAAGCCTGTTTAGGCCTCTTGCTGGGATTATTCCAAGAGCCCTTGGGGTCACTCAGAGGAGCCAGGAAGCTGCCTGCTGCTGCATTAAAAACAGATTCCTGGGGCATTTGAATCGCTGCATTTTTGTCATCTTTCCTATTTGGCCCCTTCCAGGCAGTGCTTGTCCTGAATTTTGGCCTAACGACATCCATATAAAATGTGGTATGGGAGAGCATTGCTCAGTAACCAGTGAGAATGTGCGTGCGCACAGCCAAGGCGGTTCTGCTAAAATATCTGAGAAGGAAAATCTGTTCCTGGCCCAGGTGACCCAGGGACCAGTTGCCTACTCACCTCACCCCCAACAGTACAGGCGTTTACCGGCCTCTACTCCACAGAAAGATGTGACACCGGGCCCATCTGTGTGCACCCACAGAGTGCCCAGTCTCTGCCCTGCCCTTCCCCCACTATCCAGCCACTTAGGCTTGGGGTGATGGTGGAGGAAACTAAAAGAGAGATCAAAAGGTTCTTGTCCTTGGGGCCGCGCGGTCGGCGGCGGTTAAGTTCCTGCACTCTGCTTTGGAGACCTGGGGTTGGGGGTTTGGATAGGATCCTGGGGGCGGACTTATGCAGAGCTCATGAAGCCATGCTTTGGCGGCATCCCACATGCAAAGTAGAGGAAGGCTGAGACAGACAGTTAGCTCAGGGACAATCTTCCTCACCAAAAAAAAAAAGAACGATACAAAAATAGAAAGGTTCTTGGCCTCCACATTGATGGAAGAGAGAGGCAGGCACTGGACACCTACCCCTCTTCCCCAGATAGGTCCGGCTAGATTGTGGGGGAGGGCCGAGGCCGAGCCCCCCCGCCACCCCGGCACTTTGGGTTGAGTTGACGGTGGAGTGAACTAGAAGAGGGAAGGTGAAGAGGTGCTCGGCCTTGAGCCGACTGAGGGGGCGGTCCCTGGTCGCGGCCGCCCCGCCCCCGCCCCGCCCCGCCCCCGCCCCGCTCCTCTGCCACCGGCTGCCACTGCGGCAGCGCCGGTCGCCTTCCTCGGATCGTCAGCGTACAGGTGAGGACAGGGGACCCCGCGCCCGAGCCGCCGAGGAGGGAGCGGGCAGCTTCGTGAGTCTGTGAGCTGGGAGAAAAGGAAAAGGAATCGGATTCCGCAGAGGGCGGGAGGGACCGAAGGACGCTAGCCCCAAATCCTCAGGCGGCGGGGAGGTGGTGCCTGCCAAGCCCGGAGAAGAGGACGCGTCCTTACCGAGCGCCTCTGTGAGTCCGGAGATGCGCTGGGCGCATAGATGCCTTTGCTGCGCGGGGACGCAGTCTCGAGTGGGGCCTCCTAGATTCTGGGGCGCTGGATTCCGGGGAGCCCAACGTCCCCTTGCAGTTGTTCAGCCAGCAGCTCAAGGTACCGCTCCTGGGTATTGAAAGGGCGACTCCAGGCTCGCGGGCCGGGAACACGCACAGAAACCTCCCTTGCTGGGGTGCTTTGAAGAACAGCCTTGCCTCAGCCCTGTGAATGTTAATAATAGGTGGAGAATTTGTTCTGCACGGGGTGGTGTGTACAGGTGGAAAATCTGCAGGAAAAGATTGACTTATTTTTTGAAAATTTCTTCAGTTTAAAATTTCAGCTAACCCGTTCTTCCTTTTCTTGTGTCTGGGGAGGTGACACTAGAATGTAAGCCCATCTTTGGGTCTATCTCTGAAGTTCTAGGTTCATCTGTCCCCCATGAGGTTTTGGTTTGGAAGAAGTGAAGTGGGTTTGTGTTTTAACACTGTGTAAGTTTCTTGAACTCCTTAAGTCAGGGGCCATAGACACACTGTTGTTCTGTTTCTCTCCCTGCAGCTGGGAGGAAGGATGTTCACTGTGCTGACCCGCCAACCTTGTGAGCAAGCAGGTTAGTATCTCTCCACAGTCAGCAAGTGTGATTTTGTCAAGTCCCATGAAAATCCGAGCCTCAGCCCACTGCTTTTCATCCATGGCCCCTGCAAATGACTGTCTAACCTCTTTGGTTTGAGACAGTTGCTCATCGGGCTCACGCCACCAGCATTCCTCAGATAAAAGTAATGCTTTTCGTCAAAGCTGCGCAAAGCAAGGACTAACATGCATGTGTGGCTTAAATGGTTTTTCCGGTTTGCATAATCCATTAATTTGGCCCTTGTGGTTTCCCTTACCCAGCTGTGTGTAAGGTTTGCTTTAGAATATTGTTGATTTTGTGATGAATTGTAAAGTACTTGGATCTTTCCTCTGTTTTCATCCAAGTGTTGTTGCTGGCACAGCACCTACAGCATCCCCCACCCCCCACCATGGGTCAGCGTTGTTACCATTGATACTGCAGGCACATGTGCAGAATTCTCTCTCTCACACACACACACATACACACACTCACACACAGACACTTCCAGGCTTGCCCTGCCTGCCTGCCTCTGGAGCACTTTTTGCAGTAGGGCCTGGCCTCTCCACTGTCAGGTAGACACCTTATAATTACAGTGTTTGTCCAGCCCTAATGACAGCACAGCTCTAGGTTGCATTCCCTAAATGAATGAGACCCGGTCTAGTCCATTTTGCTTTGTGATAGGCTTTTCGACTGGGGCAAGGGTTTGCTTAAGATAATCATAGCTTTTTACCTGAAAACTGCTGAAGCACAGAGGACTGAGGAGGCCAGCCATGTGGCTGTGGTCAGGAGACTGCTTACATATCACCCCCTCCTGCCCCATGGACAGATGTTCTTTGGTCATGCCCCTAAATTGGGTGTTCTTGTCTTCCAAAAGGATGTGATTTTAGGATAGTAGGGGCAGTTTAAAGAATCTTTTTTTTTGTAAAGGGAAATTGTACCTAAGGGGTTGGTTTACTTTGATTGCCAGGTTTTCTCCAAAACACTTTGAAATTTTAACACATACTGTAACACACACATACAGACTAATTTGTTACATTCCTTCCAGAGGACAAGTTTAACTTGGCAGATTAAACCTTTACCATGTCTTGTTAGGGAGGGAAAAAATCTCTTAAATCTCTATAACTGAAATCGATATATGCATTCTTTTTTTGTGTGTGTGTGAGGAAGATCAGCCCTGAGCTAACATCCATGCCAATCCTCTTCTTTTTGCTAAGGAAGACCGGCCCTGAGCTAACATCTATTGCCGATCCTCCTCCTTTTTTTTTTCCTCCCCAAAGCCCCAGTGGATAGTTGTATGTGGAGACTGCACATCCTTCTAGTTGCTGTATGTGGGACGCGGCCTCAGCATGGCTGGACAAGCGGTGCGTCCGTGCGCACCCGGGATCCGAACCCAGGCCGCCAGTAGCGGAGCTCGAGCACTTAACCGCTAAGCCAGGGGGCCGGCCCCTGATATATGCACTCTTTAAAAGTTGATACAAAAATGTGCCTCTCTGAATAAACTGATTCCTGGCTGGTTCATGTACTTTTATCCACAATCACAGAAAAATGATCTAGGACCCCTTGAGAGGCTCTGAAGGTCAACTCCATAGTGGTTGGCCTCCCTCCAGTCGCTGTCACAAACAATTCTGCAATGAGTAACTTTCTGTATGAGTCATTTTACACATGAGGGGCTAGTTCTGTGGAATAAATTCCCAGAAGGGGGATTGCAAGTCAGATGGTGTACACATTTGCAATTCTGATAAATATTGACAAGTTGCCTTCCCTTGGTGCTGTGCTAATTTACATTCCCAGTGACAAGGTAGGAGAATTAAGGTGTTAAGTGACCACCTTTGAAGTCAGGATGTGTCTGTGGCAGCATCTCTACTGCAGGGGAGTCAGATGGGGCAGAAAGAGGTGGCTGTTCGGAGCCATTGAGACCCACTGTGTGAGTGGACTCCCCAGGTAATAAGTTTTGAGACGTGACTGGATATTGAGACTGAATCTAATTCTATATGGTGGTATACATGTGTCTTTTTTTTCTTCCAGGCTTATGTCTCCTAGACATAGTGAAGGAGGAAAGCGTAGGTTATGTTGATCTAAAAATAAATGTTCTGGAATAGGACAGGGTCTAGCCCATTGCTCTTCAATAGAACTTTCCGTGATGATGGAAATGTTCTGTAACTGCGTTGTCCAATTGGTAGCCATTAACCACATGTGGTTATTAAACATTTGAAATGTGGGTAGTGAGACTGAGGAACTGAGTTTTTTATTTTATTTAATTTTAATGAATTTACATTTAAATACCCAGTTGGTGAGAGACATGTTGGGATTCTCTGAAACCAGTGATCTTTCTGTTATGCTAGTATTTATCCTATTCAGCCATTTGGGTGTTACCATTTGTATTTATGCCATAATAGTTCTACCAAGACTATTATTAGGTCAACATTTTAATTGAATGTCTTTTTATCTTTTAAAAAATTAGGTATAATTTATATACACTGAAATGGATAGATCTTAAGTTATGCCCCTAAGTTGGATATTCTTGCCTTCCAAAAGGATGTTTTTAGGATAGGGGCAATTTATAAGACTTTTTTTTTTTTTTAAGAGAAATTGTACTTAAGGAGCTGGTTTACCTTGATTTTCAGATTTTTCCCAAAAAACTTTGAAAGGTTTGGTAAATTCTGACAAATGCACAGACCCATATACCCCATAATGCTGTTAAGATACAAGGCATTTCCATTACCCCAGAAAGTGCCCATGTGTTCCTTCCCAGTGAATCCCTGTCCCAGACCCCCAGGCAATCACTGTTCTGATTTCTGTCACCTACCTGTTTTAGAACTTCACATAAATGGAATCATTTCAGTATAGTACAGTAGCAGTTTCTTTTTTTTTTCAATCTACTTACTACTTTATTTACGAAATTTTCATTAGCCTACACTGGTTTGTTAAGACTCAAGTAAATATCTGCTCATAATCATCTAGTTAAGCAATATATTATTTAAATTTAATAAATAGACTTAGTCCATTATGGTACATTATATGTTATTATATAATACATATACAATTATATAATTATTCAGAGGCTATATATTTAGTTGAAGATTATTCATATGCTTCATTTTTTTTTTTTTTGCTTTTAAATGAGTGGATATCATTTACATGTTATGATTAAAATACAAATAGCAGAGATTACATGTCCTCTTTGGGAGGGAACACATGGATTAGGTCATTTGTGAAGGTGTAGGTGAAACCCTATGCCTTCACTGTAGACACAGGAAAAATGACTGAGGTTGAGTTCTTATTGAGAACCCAAATATTTTAGAAATTCAGACGTGTTACCATTTGCTTAACAAAAGTCACCTTTATAATCATTGATTATATCTGAAGTACAGTATTAATTTCTTTTTATTTATCTGAGATTATTTTTAAATTAAATATTATATCACCTGCTTTAATAGAAAACCCATATTTTTCAAATCTACATTGAAACAAATGTTATTGTAAATCATCTCCGGGACAACCAGTCATATGCATAATATACTTTGGGAAATACCAGAAAACTGAACCAAGCATACCCTCCCACAAACACTGTTTTAGTCCACTCCTTGAAGGAAAGATAAGTTGGTATTGGAGTCCAGTTGCCACTCCACCTTAAAACTGTGGGTCTCGGGCCGGCCCCGTGGCTTAGCGGTTAAGTGCGCGCACTCCGCTACTTGCGGCCCGGGTTCAGATCCGGGTACGCACTGACACACTGCTTGTCCAGCCATGCTGAGGCCACGTCCCACATACAACAACCAGAAGGATGTGCAACTATGACATGCAACTATCTACTGAGGCTTTGGGGAGAAAAAGGGAAAAAAAAAGAAGGAGGATTGGCAATAGATGTTAGCTCAGGGCCAGTCTTCCTCAGCAAAAAGAGGAGGATTGGCATGGATGTTAGCTCAGGGCTGATCTTCCTCACAAAAAAAAAAAACAAAAAAAACCCAAAAACTGTGGGTCTCACTAAAGCCAGAGGAAGTGACGTATGCACGCAGTTATGTTCCCAGTTCATGGATTCTATAAAGAAGTCCAGAACTTTGTTCCTGCTTTCCCCTCATGTGTCTTCTGGGTCTTCCCATTTTAGGCCTCAAGGCCTTCTCCCGAACTCCAGCCATCATCGCCTTGGTGTTCTTGCTTTTGAGTGTTGTGGTGCTTGTGGCTATCACGCTCATCCAGATTCACCAGAAGGAGGTCCTCCTTCCAGGACTGAAGGTACGTGTAAAGGGATTGGCATTGAAGGGAAGAAATGGGCTATGACATCACTTATTCTAAAGCTGTGAGTGAGAAGAAAAGAAAATCCTATCCCTCACCTCCAGCTGGAGCCAGGGGAAGCTGGTGTAAGACCCAAGGGAGAAGGTCTGGAAACGCTGGATTTGTGATGTTTGAGCCTACAGATTGATAGTAGTGACACCTTCTCCAAGAACTGTGTGACTTGCTTTGACTCTTGACTGTTAGAACTAAAGCTAGACTTTGCAACCAAGAATTACAGATGGCTACCAAAGATTTACCAGCTTGTTCGTTCCCCCGGACCGCACAACCCTGATCATGTGCAGAGACCAGGAGACCCAGGCTCCTCTTTTGGCCTAGCCTGGGTGACCAAAAAATCAAGTACTAGAAAAGTCTCCTTGAACTGTATTTGTGCTACCTTTCTTGGATCTAGAAGTGTGCCACGATCCCTCTGACTCTTCTGCCCCCAAAATTACCCATGACCTTGTGCTCAGTTCCAGAGGCCTGTCTCAGCCCTTGATAAGTTCATCCCCAAATGGCCTCTTGGGTGGTCTCTGGTAGGCTGAGAATCATGTATATCACCCATGCCTTGGCTATAAGGATGATGGGAGGTGACCCCATGAGAGACTGTCAAATGAAAGGTGAAGAGAGTCAGTGAATCCTTCAATCATTTCAGGTAGAGGTCAGCAAACTTCTTCCATAAAGGGCCAAATAGTACACATTTTAGACTTTGAGGGCCATTTATAGTCTCTGTTGCATATCTTCTTTTGTTTTTGTTTTTGTCTTCTTATGACTCTTTAAAAATTTAAAAACCCTTCTTAGCTGGGGTAGGGGCGGGGGTGGGTGTTGGGGCTAAGTAATTCAATTATTTTATTTGAATATCATTTGGCATTTACCCTTGACCTTGTGAGTCCATTCTCCATCTTCCTGCTGTTAGTGACTGTTCAAAGGCTATATTTGAAATAGAAATTTTTAGAAGATGAAAAAGAAACTAATATTGCTTTGGCTCTGTGAGTGAGTTTGATCTACCATTCTGAGGCCACTTTTCTAAAGGATTAAAGTAAAATCTCCTTTAGATAATGGTATTTGGCTCTTTTATAGGACATTTTACTTAAGAATCTCAGCCCCCAATGAATAACATGAATAAAAAAGAAAAAGAAAAAAATGCTTATGCAACTTTCCAGTGGTGAGAGGAAAACAAATTGCTTGTCCAAAGACATTAGCTAAGGCCAGAGAAGCTGTTTTCCCAGGCTCCAGGCGCTGCCTTCTTCTGTAAACTGTATAAAATCAGGATTGCAACTAGGAGTAATACCATCTCCTTACACTTTGTAAACTGCTGTTCAGTTGAGTGAGCATTTTCCCCTGAATTATCTCATTAAACCCTTGTGTCCACTATAGAAGGTGGACAGAGCAAGCACTGTCACCACCATTTTTCAAATGAGGAAACATAGGTTTGGCCAGTGGATGGCAGGACCAGAACTGAAACTCGGTCCCTCCTGTTCCCAAGGCCGGGGCTCTCTTCACATACTGCCCACCTCTCCCTGATCCTAAGTTCTGAGTGGGGAACCCAGGAGGAGGTATTGACCTCTGATAGGTGAACACGTCCTCCTTTGCACAGAAGGAAGGTGGGGAGGATGGGTGCAGATGCAGGAAGGTTTGCTGAATTGGGGGAGGGAAATATCTCTCAATTGGGGGGAAGGCTAATACCACCCTTAGAGCCTAGTAACCCCTCTTAGACCCCATATTCAGAAACCAGCTCTAGCTGAACTCCAGATTTATCTCTTTCCATGGGACAAGGAAATTTACCCACTCAGAGCCATGCTTTCCCTTCTAGAACATGCTGTGGTGCCTGGGACCCCAGAATCCAGCATCTGTGTGGGCCTCCTTCTGAGGCCCAATCTCACCCCTGGTCTGAGGGGTGGCAAAGGGGCAGCTGCTTGCAGGGAGTATAGACAGAGCATGGACGTGAGGTCTGAGCTGTTCCATTTTCTACAGTCAACGAACAGGTGCATGAGGCTCTTCACTCTGTGGATTTGCCGGGGAAGAGGACAGGTTGGGGAGGGGGAGCAGAGCAAAAGCCTTCATTTATAAAATTTTCCCTCAGGCCCTACAAAAGTTAGGAATGGGCTGGTTAAGGCAGTTGCCAGCTACTGGCTTCTACTTGTTCTGGGGCTAAGAGGTAAGTCCTCTGTTCGTACTGAGGGACGTGGAGGACTTAGAAGACTGGAAGAGTAAACTGAGTAGAGAAAAGTAGATCATGGGGCAGTATGGAGGGCACTGTTAAAGGAGGAAGCACACCTGTTTATGTTACTGTGTCAGGTGAGTTCCCCCAGTCAAAGAAGTGAGTGCAAGTAGGCCATCCGGGGATGTCCCCAGGAAACAAGGGTAGGGGATAGGGAAGTGAGACAGGAGGGAAGGCAGCCAATGGAGGGCCTGTTACACAGCAGGTTACCACTGTGGGCAACTGGGGCTCAGTCCTGCTGAGGATCTCTGGGAGCTAGCGTACGACTCACCTCAGGGTTGTCCTCTACCAAGGCGGGTGTATAGAACACCAGCCTCATGGTTACCCACTCAAGGGCGTACACACCAACTTCCACTAGTCATTGAGGGGCTATGTTAACTCTAGTATTTTTGGCATACTGTGTGCTCTGGTAGGCTCAGGCTACTAGAGAAAGCCCTCGGGCAGGTGGAAAGTGCATGGTTGGACATTGCAGTGGCAAGGTCTGAGGGACTGTGGGCAGGGAACCCTCAGTGACTGTTCCATGTAGATACGACTATTATTATCATCCTCGTTTTGCATGTGAGAAAACAGAGGAACAGAAAGGGCAAATAGCTTCCCATAGTTACCCAGATTGGAAATAACGGAACTGGTATAGAAGAAAGAAAAGAGAGCCGAAAACATTGGCCTTAAGCAAGGGTTTGGAAGGACCAGAAAACCTACCCTCACCAATTAGCAGACAGTTCAAAGAGGGGATTTTTAATCTCTTCAGAGTCTTATTGTCAGGCCCCACTCACAGTTGTAGGGGACGGGAAGTTGTATAACACTGGAATATTGGCTCAGAAAGCCCATTCTGCTCAGTTGACTGGGTTAAATGTGAGAAAAGACAGATGTTCTGGGCCAGTTGAACCGGGAGCAGAACGACAGCTTGGAAGAGAGCATTCCACATGCAGCTTTTCTCAGGTGCTGAGAGACCTCTTTCCTTTTGTTCTGCAGTGAGTGCCAGGAACAGGAAGTGTGGTTGTGGAGGTGAAGATGAATGGATAGAACGGCGTTTTAACTGTTAACATTGATGTTTTCATGCCCTGAGCCTTGTTTTGCCTTTGTGTGCAGCTGACAGTTGGTTATGAGGGGCCAGCTCTGCAGTGGCCTGTCCGGAGGGCCCTGGAATATTCCTCAAGACCCTCATGAAAGGTCATGATACCTGTCTATTAAATCCAACCTTGGCTTCCCTAACCTGGTTTATCTGAGTTTAAGAGCAGAACTATTAAAACTTAAGGGTTGAAATGTCTCCAGTCCCTTTTTCATTGTTACTAGTCTCACCTGCTCTATCAGCTTGAAGAGTAAACATGATGACATGGCTTTTATTTTTCACGCAGGCCCCCACCTGCTTTATTATCATTAAGTCCAATGTCTTCCTCTTGAGGCTTCACCCTCCCCACCCCTAATCACCACTGTCCAGAAGCCTGGAGCTTCTCAGTCCAATAAGATCAATATCCCATTGCTATTGTCTCTTGCAGCTATATGATGTCACTGTTGAAGAGGGGCCTGCATAGTCTCACAGTTTGAGGGATGCAGCTTTTCTGCCATAACCTGCTCAGGTCACATTAGATCCCCATGTTGGGTCACACTCCTGTGCTCAGCCATTAGTCTCCCAAAGCACAACCGCTGTGCCAGCCTGTGTTAAAACCATTCCCTTCTTTTTTTTTTTTTTTTTTTTTTGCTGAGGAAGACTGTCTCTGAGCTAACATCCATTGCCAATCCTCCTCCTTTTTTTTTTCCCCCCAAAGCCCCGGTAGATAGTTGTGTGTCATAGTTGCACATCCTTCTAGTTGCTATATGTGGGACGCGGCCTCAGCATGGCCGGAGAAGTGGTGCGTCAGTGTGCGCCCAGGATCCGAACCCAGGCCACCAGTAGTGGAGTGCGCGCACTCAACCACTAGGCCACGGGGCCGGCCCAAAAACCATTCCCTTCTAAGCCTCATCCATTCTCGGTCATCAGCCTGGATCTCTGGTGCCTGGTGGCTCACCCTGGTTTACCGGTTGGAGAGCAAGAGGTAGACAATTGGTTTCTTCCTTTTCAGAAAGCCCTGGCTCCCTATTCTAATTGGTCCACCTCTTCTCCAGCCAGATCTGCACTCCACTTAACTAAGAATTTGCTTTTGAGGGACTTTTTGTCTGGACAAAGAAAGTCTGCTGTACCATACCAGTCACCTTATTACTGAACAGTTACCCCCTTAGACTTGGTTTCCTTGGAGCTCAGTGAAAGCATGGGGGCTATGAGTACAGGTTTGAGAGTCAGACCGAGGCTTGATCCCAAGTCTGTGACCTTGGACAATTATTTACCTTGGTGAGCCTCAGTTTCTTCATCTGTCAAGTGGAATAATGCTAACACCTGCCCTAGAAATGCAATGCTAAAGCACTCTGTGCAGGGCCTGGCATATTATAAGTACTCAACAAATGTTTATTACTCCTGCTATTATTATTATAGTAATGGTAATATTGATGATAATAATAATAATAAACAAATCTAAGAAAGTTGATCTTATGACCTTTGCTTTTGCTTTTGTTAAAAGCTCACACAGTCCTTAAGTTTTGGACCACAGAGTTCATATGGAGGACTGTTTCCTTTTGGTTAATGCACTGAGTGTGTCTTCAGTTCCACATTCAAGCCATGTTTTTTCTGACACTGCATTAGGCAGAGGGTTACTTACTGCTTTTCATCCAGACGTCACCCACCTAGCTGAACTGAATGAAATTCATTACCCTCTCCTCGCCTTCCCTGGAACCACATTGAGTTCCACTGATCTAGGCAAATGAGCTCTGAAAACTGGTTCAAGACCAATTTTCCCACTTTCGAAAATCTCAGTGAATGATGGGGGAGGGTGGATCAGTGTTAGTTAGAAGTAGTGTTGGGCCTCCAGGCTGGCCCCTGTCAACACCTCCGCAGGTGCCCGAGGGGCAGCCATTTCTCCAGGCTCCCAGAGCAAAGACTCTGGCTGCCCCCTTCCCTGGTGAAAACTGGATCCCAGCTGGAGTTACAAATGAGAGTAGATATTCTTCCTTCTTTCTGATCTTGCCCCAGCAGCCCCGAGCTTCATACACAGGGAAAATGCATTCTCTGTGAAGGGTTGGAATGAATAAGATTTGGGGAAAGGTGGGTACCCTCTGGAGTAGTTGTCCTCTCATTCTCTCTCTTGTCTTGTCAGCACCGGGCGTGGAGGGGCCAGTGGAGGGGTGATCAGGTCGGCAGAAGGAGGGAGGAAAGAAAGCCGACTGATATGGAGGCTCAGACCTCTTGAGGGCCTGGTTTCCTTCACTTTCAGCCTGTGCTTTAATCTCACGGTGAGCCTCTGCCTGGAACGGATTATGAACAATGTCTCCCTTGTTCACCATGGGGGGTGTCATGTCAGGATCCCAGTCAACACTCATCAGACTGAATGGCTGAGATTAAGAGGCTGTCCAAGTTCAAATACCAGTGTATACAGGATGTTCTATTGCAATGTAATGGAGAAGCTGTGATTGAGGAGCTAGAGCAACATTTTTTCATTTGGTCCCACTTCAAATGAAGCAAGTATCTGTGATAGTAGAAAGCTGGAACCTTCCTAAACGTCTAGAATCAGGAAATTGGTTAAATAAATTGTACATCTCACAATGATGTGATGAATGTATTAAACATGATGATATCAGTATTTTTACTGGCAGGGAGAGATGTTCATGCTATACTTCTAAAGTAAGAAAAGAGCATTGGAAAAGATTGTGTACAGTATAATCCTGTGTTGATTTAAAAACATGTCTAAACACATATTTATATATGTAGCTGTATGCACAGAAGACCATTAGAAAAGATATATAACAAAGTGTTAAAACAATAATTGGATTGAGGGGCCAGACCTGTGGCCTAGTGGTTGAGTTTGGCGCACTCCACGTCAGCGGCCCGGGTTTGGTTCCCGGGCACAGACCTACACCATTCTTCGGCAGCACCCACATACAAAATAGAGGAAGATTGGCACAGATGTTAGCTCAGGGTGAATCTTCCTCAGCAAAACAAAACAAAAAAAAAGCAATAGTTGGATTGAAGGATGTTATTTACTTTTTTCCCTCTGTCTTGCTTGTAATTTTATTTGTTTATTTTGCTTTATTGATTTTTTTTATATAGCCTGTTTTATAGCCCCATTTTTATTTAGCAGCCACTAAACATCAGGCATATGGTCTCCTATTGACTTCTGAAAGTAAGTAGTCTCAAGATGGGGAAACCCAGAGAGCTTAGGCCTCTTACCCAGGGTTGTAAAAGCAAGAATCCAGCTGAGTTGACCTGCCTGCCAAACCCAACTTCATTTTCCTCCCTGGGACAAGCTAGGCTAACTCAACGGTGGTGCAACTGGGGAAAAGCTGCCACCCAAAGCCTCTGATGCCCTAGGCAGACTCCAGGCTCAACCAAATGCTGACCTAGGTCAGCATTACTCCTTCCAATCCCTGTAGGCTGCTATTACGTGCTCTTTCCCGGTCAGGCTTGGTCCAGGACTGGGCTGGGCCACACCTTCAGGTGAAGCTCCCGCGTGCCTGCCCCAAGCTGGGTGAGATGGTCCAGGACTCCCAGCCTACTCTCCTATGCACAGGTAGCCCCAGCACTGCCCTGGCAACACCCTCCTGTCCATTTGTTCACATACCTGTTACCAGAGTGGGACAATATGTCAACATTAGTGTGTCTTTTGTTTTTCCCTCCTTAATTACAAATACTTTCATTCTGAAGGCTGATACAAATACTGATGTGTCTCTCCCTTGTGAGAACTGCTTACTTATAGTTTCCTTTTGGTTGTTTATTTCCGGACTGCTAGGCCTGGAAGTTTGGAGAATAGAGGGCAGCAGGTGACTGACTATTTATTTCCCTCCTGAGACCCAGATGGCTTCTGTTCCCAACCTCAGAGGTCTGGATGAGGAGGGATCAGGACTTGTCTTTGCACACAAGGTCCTTGGAGTACTGATTTTCAACCTTGCCTGCATATTGGAATCACCAAGGGAGCTTTAAAAACCGTTGATGCCTGGGTCCCCTCCCAGCGGTTCTGATTTAATGGGTCTGGGGTGCAGCCTTAGCATTAGGAGTTTCAGAAGCTCCCCAAGTGATTCCAATGTGTGGCCAAGGCTGAGAACCATGCCCTAGAACACTTGACCCACCTCACCCCATCACCTTCCCCCACAGTCCAAGGAGACAAAGTTGGTTTGGAGAAAATAGTTTTTTCTTCTTGGTCAGTGAAGCACCTCAATGAAGCAGAGTGGATTAAGCTCTTGAGAATATTTGGGGTTCTCAAGTGGCCCACTGGCAAAAGGAGTCCTCAGAAAGGCTCAGCCCATTTCTAACTCTCCCTTTCCCTTTTTGTTCAGTATGGAATCGTGCTCGATGCTGGGTCTTCCAGAACCACAATCTATGTGTATGAGTGGCCAGCGGAGAAGGAGAATAACACTGGAGTGGTCAGTCAAACCTTCAAATGTAATGTGAAAGGTAAGACCCAGAGAGAGTCTGGGAGGCCCATAGGGAAGCTAGGGAGAGTCCTAATGTCCTCCAGAGGCTGGAGAGTTCCTGAGAAGCTACCTGGGGACAGGGAATGAGTACTGACTAGGTGCCAGGAAAATGTGAGATCTTGTGCTAGTGCTGCTACTCATCGGTGCAGTGACCTTGGGCCAGTCACTTCCCTTCTCTGGGCCTCAGTTTTCTCATCTGTAAAACATGCAGGGGAGGGCATGTCAATAACTGTGAATGGTGTGAGATTTTACCCTGCCACACTTGCATGAATGCTGGTGGAAGACACAAGATTCCTGGGTCGGAAGTGAAGGACAGTTTATTGCTCACAGTAATAGTGGTAGCCAGAGTAACAGCATTTTCTTGCACTAGTTCTCTGAGCCCCAGTTTGCACACGATGGTGTAAAGAGGGCCAGATAGTACATGCTCACGCAGTGGATTGTGTAACAGAAGAGGAACCCTGAGATTAGGGAATCTGAAACATGGATAATGGGCACTGAGCATACCTCCCTTTTGCTCTGGGGTGAAACACTATCTCTTTTATGCAAACATCCCCGATGAGATAATCCAGAACAAAGGCAGTCAGTGCCTCTGCTCATAAGATACGCAGAAACATACATACAAAAATGCAAAATTGTATCCCCATAGGGGAATTGTATTCCAGTTGGCTGTGTATGTCATGGGGGGAGGGGATGGAGTGGAGAGAGATAGATGAAGACAGACAATACGTAAACAAACAGGCATGGTTCTATTCCAGTAAAGCTTTATTTACGGACTCTGAAATTTCAAATTTCATGTAATTCTCAAATGTCACAAAATATTATTCTTATAATTTTTTTCCCCACCATTTAAAAAGGTAAAAACTATCTTAGCTCACAGGCTGTATATAAAAAAGATGGTGAACTGGATTTGGCCTGTGAGCTGCCAACCCCTGAAATAGAACCTTATCAGCATCTTTAATGACCCCCTCTGCAACTCCCTGCCTCCTCCACAGCGTATCCTGAATTTTATGTTAACTGTTTCCTCTTTGTTCTTTCTAGTTTTGTCCTTGGCATTTAGTTTTTCCTGTTTTTGAAAACAAAATCAAATACATGTTTATATAAATGAAATCAAATATTTATTCTTCTGTAATTTGCTTTGTTCACTAACATTGGGTTTTTAAGATCTGTCTATGTTGATATGAACAGCAATAGCTCATTCATTTTTCCTTGTTGATGGGCATTTGTATTTCCATCATTACTAATATCTTTTCACATATTTACTACCATTTCATTTTTCTGTAAAATATATGTTCATGTTTTTTACTCATTTTTCTACTGAATTGCTTGACTTTTTCTTATTGATTCATTAGAATTCTTTATATATATTCTGAATATGAATGCTTTCCTAGTATTATTATTGTATTGTTACTAATATCCTCTCACAGTTTTTGGTTTGTCTTTTCAGTCTCTTTATGATGTCTTTTGATGACTAGAAGTTCTTAATTTTTATGTAGGTACAATTATCAGTCTTCTCCTTTAGGGTTTGCTCTTTTGTATGTTTTATTTAAGAAATCCTTCTGTATCTCGAGGTCATAAAAAGTTTTATAATTTTGCCTTTTACAATGAAGTCTTCAGTCTTTAGTCCACATAATTGAGCCCAGTTAGTGAGTGTGTGTGTGTGTGTGCCTTTTTAAAAGCCACCCTCTTGAGGTTGGCCCCGTGGTCCAATGGTTAAAATCGGCATGCTCTGCTTCGGCAGCCCAGGTTCAGTTCCCAGGCACAGACCTACACCACTCATTGGCGGCCATACTGTTTTGGCAACCCATATACAAAATAGAGGAAGATTGGCACAGATGTTAGGTCAGGGCGAATCTTCCTCAAGCAAAAAGAGGAGGATTGGCAACAGATGTTAGCCCAGGGTAAATCTTCCTCAGCAAAAAAAATAAATTAATTAAATAAAATAAAAGCCACCCTCTTTAGAGCATTATGATCTTTGAGTTGGTCTGGAGCTTCCCAATCAGTGTGTCCTGAATGGGTTACAGGTATACCCTCAGCCCACAGGACAACAGGTTAGAGACTCTGGAACAGTCCTCCCAGCCCCGAGCAATCTCCTTCATTTCCCTCCATCCGCTGCCCAAATATAATAATTTCTTGGGGGTTATGGCATTGAAAAAGTTGGGAAGCAGAATTAGCCTTTCCCATAGGGAGACCAAGAGTCTTCTTTGAATAACCAGGATGAGTTCTGATCTCTGCCCTTCCATGGAGGGCAGCCAAGAGCTTGCCTACTCTGGTGCCTTAGATGTCACAGTTAGGTTATCTAGAAGCAGATACTGAGAAAGAGTTTGGGATGCAAGGTAGTTGTTAGAGATCCACACCTGTGGAAGGAAGGGGGAAAAAGTAGGACTGGACAGGAGAAGTCAAACTGCAGTGTAGGCCTGACAAAGCTTCAGGCAATCAGAGTTATTCTGCACTGGGTTGCAATGGCCTGAAATGGTTGGGCTGTGATACCCCGCCACCATCAATCATTGGATGTTGCCATCCTGGGAAGAGCAAGACATTGAGCAAGGCAGCTCTCTGCAACTGAGGTAAACTCTGAAGGAGCCGACAGCTGGGACAATAAGTCTTTATTTGAAGGGGAATCTATGTGGCACCGCTCTGAGCTCACCACAACAGGGGACTCTGATGTTTTCTGAGTGCTGCTTGCTTTGTTATCCACAAGAGGCAGGCAGCAGCAGCCTTGCTCTGGCCTCAGCCAGAGATCCCACCCCTGGTCTCCCAACTTCTGAGCCATTTCTCCACCTCTATGCATGAAAGAGGGCAGGAGGACCCTCCCTTAGAAAAAACAGACCACCCTCTTCAAGAAAAGAGAGGGTAGTGTAGGACAGTGATTAAGACCTCACCTCATCCCTACTGTGCGAGCTCTGGAAAGTTATCTAACCTCTCTGAATCTTGACCCCCTCATCTCTTTTAAGATAAGAATCATAATAATAATACCTACCCCATAGGAATGATTTGAAGATTAAATGACATAATATATGTAAAGCAGGCAGCAAATGCCTGGCATACAGTAAGCACTCAATAAGTGTTAGCTATTATTATTCATGGAGCACCACGCTCTAGAGCTTCTGGTGGGTATTCTTGTCAAATGTTACTCTGTCCCATAGTTACAAGATCTGTCTTTAGACCCAGGAAAGAAATTCAGCCAACTCAGTCCTGATGGCCCTCTGACTGTAGCGTGAGGTGAGACTTTCATGGGGAAGACACAGGCATTCTCTCAGGGGAAGGGGCCCTTGGCCCACCCTAGCTGTGATTTAGGGGAGGGGCAGGGTCATGGAGCCCACACCACATCCATAAATGGATCTTCCCTTCTTTGATAACAGTAGCCTTGGGGATGCAGTTATACTCTGAATGACCAGATGATCACAAACTAAAGTTCAAATTACATAGTTGCAGTTTGGCAAGTGTCATCCCCTCGAGGCCTTGTGGCTTCTCCAAGGATAATTTGAATTCTTGGTTTCTTAGTTGCAAATTTCCCCAGGACTCCTTTGCCTTGGTCAGTCTAAGGAGGTGGTGAATGCTTGCTCAACCAGCAGTATTTCCCAGATGCCCAGGCCCTCAGAAATTTCTTTGTTGTGGCGGGGGTGGGGGTGGGGGTGGGGGTCCCTGGTGTCTATTAGTCCTCAGATGCTGCTCTTTTCCATGAGTTCACTGAGTGCTGCCTTTGCTGCTGGTCCTGTGCTGGTGTCTGTGGCTCTGGCTGCTGGTTGTAAAGCCATCTCCTGAAGGGGCTGGTTCCCTGCATGCCCCTCATCTCTTTTGCAGTGTACAGTGCTCATACCTGCTGCTGCCTTCTCCCACAAGGGACATTCATGTTTTCCCTTTAAACTAGTGGTTAAAAAGTTTTCAAACTCCACTGGAGCCTAAACTTAACCATCTTCTCCATTGAAATACCTTAAAGAGCTGCTTCAGGGACCAGGCCGCTACAATGTTGAAAAGCATCCTTCACCCGTTGTTGACCAGACAAAGCCCCAGCTGAGGCACATGTCTTTTGCTTCTGTCCCACCTCAAGTAAGTTTTGTGCTGTCTGTCCAACCCTCTCTCCCCAGATTGGAATAACACTTTTAACTCTCTTTTCTTGGGAGTGTGGATCTCAGTATCTATGAGCCTGTGCGTCCAATCTCCTTTTCCATCCAGGAGGTTTAAGGGACCTTATGCAGATAGACCCTCAGGTGACATGCTCAGATACCGCAATGCTAACATTCTATCTTGCTCCTAACCAGCCCCTACCCAGAGACCAGCTCTAGGAGAATGTATTTTGTTTGCTCCAGATTGGACTCCACACTCCCCTTAGTGTAGAGTTGCATGCTGGTTTGAAAATCTCACTGATTGATTGATTCATTCATTCATGTATTTACTAAATACTTATTAGGTGCCTGCTGTTTGCCAGGAACTGTTATTGACACTGGGAATTCTAAAGTAAACAGCAGAATTCTAAAGTTCTGCTGTTACAGAACTTACATTCTAATAAAGGAGATAGATAATAAATAAGTGTATATCTAATATGTCAGGGAAATGTGCTGTGAAGAGAAATCAAGCAAGGGAGGTGGATAGAGAGTGATCATGCTATTTGAGACAGGATCATCAGGGAAGGGCAAAGAAGGTAAAAGTTGAGCAGAGACAGAAGTGAGGTGAGAGGATAATCATGCAAACGTGTGGGGGACTACGTGCTGAGCAGACGGCGTGGCAGGGGCAAAGGCCAAAGGTGGAAGTTGCTCAGCATTTTTGAGGAAAAGCAAAGTGGCCAGTGTGCCTGGAGCAGAATGAGGAGGGGGAGGAAAGGTGAGAAATGAGACCAAAGCTGTAGCCCAGCTGGCTCACGGAGGCCTTGAGATGCAGGAAGGGATCTGACTTTTACTGAAATGAATTTTCTTCCAAGTATATTGGGAAGCCATGAGGAGAATTCTGATCGGGGAACTAACATGATATGACTTATAATTTTAACAGATCACTTGGTTGATATAGAGCACATTGTCAAAGGCTAAGATTAGAAGCAGAGGGCCCAGGGCTCTGAGAGCAGTCCCGGTGGGAGAAGAGGTGACAGTGGTCTGGCCTACACCACTGCTTCTCAACATGGTGCGATTTTGCCCCCAGGGAACATTTGGCAATGTCTGGGGACATTTTTAATTGTCACAACTGGGGTTGGTGGTGCTGTTGGCACCTAGTGGTAGAGGCCAAGGATGCTGCTAAACCTTGTACAATGCACAGGACAGCCCCTAACAAAGAATTATCCAGCCCAAAATGTTGGTAGTGCCAAGGTTGAGAAACTCTGATCTAGAATGGTTCTGGGGAAGGGAGTGAGAAGTACTCAGGTTTGAGAAGTATTTTCAAAGTAGAGCCAACAAGCTTTTATGATAGAGTCAATGTGAAGCTGATGGTGCCTAAGCATCACTTCTGATCTGAGAAACTGTGCATGATGGTACCATTCCCTGAGAGTGGGGAGCACTGGGAGTGGAGTCAGTTAGGGGCATGACAGGGATTAAGGAATTCGGTTTTGGACATATTAAGCTGGAGATGGCTATAAATCATCTAAGTCAGGGGACAGCAAACTTTTTCGATAAGGAGCGAGGTGATGAATATTTTTTACTTGTTGGCCATATGGCCTTTGTTGTAACTATTCAACTCTGCCACCGTAGCATGAAAGCAGCCACAGACAATGTGCAGGCAAGTTAGTAAGTATGTGCTTCAAGAAAACTTTAGTTATGGACACTGTACATGCCTAATGGGATATAGCCTAAGGACAAAAAGAACTTTAAAAACATCTTAAACTGTTTTCAATAATCATACAGTTGGTGGTAGTGCTGGTATTGTTATTCCAACACTGTTGTGTGTGGATTGTGAAATAAAGCATATGAGTTGTTAAGTTGAAGTTGCTGGAAAACAGGATTTTTAGCATAGGAAAAAAGAAGATAAAGACATAAGATCAAAGAAGTTAAGTAAAAACCTGTATTTTGAATTAGAAGTACCAATAAGAATTCATGATGTATTTTCTCTTGAAATAAAGTTTTCCCTACGTCTGTCCTCTGAAAAGACTTGGAATGAGAACCCTAGCTTCAACATTTTTGACATTAAATACCATTACTCATGGTTAAATTAGAAGGATATTGGAGATGAAATCTGTATATATATTTTTTTAATTTTTTGTTTATTGCAGTAACATTGGTTTATAACATTGTAAAAATTTCAGGTGTACATCATTGTACTTCTATTTCTGCATAGATTACATCATGTTCACCACCAAAATACTAATTACAACCCATCACCACACATATGTACCGAATTATCCCTTTCACCCTCCTCCCTCCCCCCTTCCCCTCTGGTAACCACCAATCCAATCTCTGTCCCTATGTGTTTGTTTATTGTTGTTTTTATCTACTACTTAATGAAGGAAATCATACGGTATTTGACCTTCTCCCTCTGACTTATTTCACTTTGCATTATACCCTCAATGTCCATCCACGTTGTCACAAATGGCTGGATTTCATCGTTTCTTATGGCTGAGTAGTATTCCATTGTGTATATATACCACATCTTCTTTATCCATTCATCCCTTGATGGGCACTTAGGTTGCTTCCAAGTCTTGGCTATTGTGAATAACGCTGCAGTGAACACAGGGGTGCATGTACCTTTGCAAATTGGTGTTTTCAAGTTCTTTGGATAAATACCCAGCAGTGGAATAGCTGGATCATATGGTAGTTCTATCCTTGCTTTTTTGAGGAATCTCCATACTGTTTTCCATAGTGGCTGCACCAGTTTGCACTCCCACCAGCAGTGTATGAGAGTTCCCTTCTCTCCACATCCTCTCCAACACATGTTGTTTCCTGTCTTGTTAATTATAGCCATTCTGACAGGCGTGAGGCGATATCTCATTGTAGTTTTGATTTGCATTTCCCTGATAGTTAATGATTTTGAACATCTTTTCATGTGTCTGTTGGCCATCTGTATATCTTCTTTGGAGAAATGTCTGTTCAGGTCTTTTGCCCATTTTTTAATTGGGTTGTTAGTTTTGTTGTTGTTGAGATGCATGAGTTCTTTATATATTTTGGAGATTAAGCCCTTATCAGATGTATGGTTTGCAAATATCTTCTCCCAATTGTTAGGTTGTCTTTTCGTTTTGTTGATGGTTTCCTTTGCTGTGCAGAAGCTTTTTAGTTTGATGTAGTCCCATTTGTTTATTTTTTCTATTGTTTCTCTTGCCCGGTCAGATGTGGTGTTTGAAAAGATGTTGCTAAGACCGATGTCGAAGAGCGTACTGCCTATGTTTTCTTCTAGAAGTTTCATAGTTTCAGGTCTTACATTCAAGTCTTTAATCCATTTGGAGTTAGTTTTTGTGTATGGTGTAAGGTAAGGGTCTACTTTCATTTTTTTGCATGTGGCTATCCAGTTTTCCCAACACCATTTGTTGAAGAGACTTTCTTTTCCCCATTGTATGCTCTTGGCTCTTTTGTCAAAGATTAGCTGTCCATAGATGTGTGGGTTTATTTCTGGGCTTTCGATTCTATTCCATTGATCTGTGTGTCTGTTTTTGTGCCAGTACCATGCTGTTTTGGTTACTATAGCTTTGTAGTATATTTTGAAATCAGGGAGTGTGATACCTCCAGCTTTGTTCTTTTTTCTTAGGATTCCTTTAGCTATTCGGGGTCTTTTGTTGTTCCATATAAATTTTAGGATTCTTTGTTCTATTTCTGTGAAAAATTTTTAAGCTGATAAATAAAAGGAAAGAATCAAACACTTATCTTGCCTTCCCTGTACAAACTGTACTGTAGGGTAACCAAATGGTTAATGATGGGGAAGTTTTTCTCTTATAAAAGCATTTTAGGTAATAAGTGAAGCAAGAATGATGGAAGTAAAATATCACCATTTCATAAACTCTAATGGACTAATGGATCCAAGCAATGATCATTGATACCTGCTAAGAGCACAAAGAGAGAAACAGTGAGACACTTGTGCCTCATATTGGAAATGCATACTCATCCTTATAGATTGTTCTCTCTAAAAAAGTTCAAACCTGCATCTGATTAATTCTCTGCATTCAGCTACCAATTTATAGGAAAAACCGGGACCAAATAACGTGTTAAATGAACCGTGAGGATGCGGTCAGCAAATTCTAGGCTATGGGAAACTGCAGGACAAATGAAATTGCAAGGAAAAATTTTTTTTAATTACAAGGAAAAAATAGAGAGGACAGAACCTATAGATTAAAAGAGACTTAAGAGATATACCAACCAACTGCAATGGATAGAATTTATTTCAAACTAGATAGAGAGAAAGAGAAAAGTGGAGGAGGGAAAGGGAGAGAAAAAATATGAATGTGGAGGAAATGTGAACCTTAACTACATATTTGATTCTATTAAGGAATTATTTTTAATTTTTATAGATATATTAATGGGACTACTGTTATGCTTCTTTAAAAGAATTCTTGCCTTTTAGTGACATACTGAAATATTTATAGAATGAAATGATACCATGTCTGCAGTTTGCTTTGTGGGGAGAGAATGGGAGAGAGTGCAGAGGCAAGAGTTGATTGATGTTGAAGCTTGGAGATGGGTGCACAGGGTTCATTACACAATTCTCCCTATTTTATTTATAATTGAAATTTCCATAATGAGAATTTCTTTTTTAAGCAGGTCTCGGTTCATTTTGTGTATCTTTGTAATTCCTTTCTTATAGATTTTGGGAGTTGACTCATCATTGTAACCAAATGGAACTTAGCTCATCCACCTATTTTCAGCCCTCAACTAAGACCCATTAATTTCCAAAGCTGATTTGTTTTTTGTTTAAAAGTTGTATTACTTTTGTTGTTCCTGGGAATGCTAAGTGCTGACTGCTTGCTCTTCAGGCCCTGGAATCTCCAGCTATGGCAAAAACCCCCAAGATGCCCCCAGAGCCTTTGAAGATTGCATGCAAAAAGTCAAGGAGCAGATTCCAGCCCAGCTCCGTGGATCTACCCGCATCTACCTAGGGGCCACCGCTGGGATGCGCTTGCTGAGGTAAGGCCTGAAATGGCACAAAGGAGCCCATTTGACCAAAATAGACAAGAATGTGTTGAACCTTGCCAAGAATGGAATTCTATTTCTGGGAACATATCTGAAAGAAAGAAACATATTCTGCCATAAATTTAGGCTTTAAAAGTTGGGAAACTTTTTGCTTTATTTTAATGCCCAGAAAGAAACAATTCTAAAATTGATTCCCTTTCCCCTGGCGATATTTCTGAGAACTCTGAAAAAAGGGAGGTAACATGAAATCTGCTCAGGGGGTGTACCTCTCATTTTTTAGAAAAGTAGAAACTGTTTTTGACACCTGATATTTTGACACCTGTGCACAACCAACTCCACAAAGTGCAACCCATAACTATGTAGCTTCTTCCCATGTACCAAACTGAAATCTGCTTAAAAACAAGGAAATTTCTGCACCTCATGCCAGTCAAAGCCTTTGGAGCTATTACGAAACAAACATGTCATTTCGTTTAATTACCTTCTAAATTTACAGCCGTGACTTTTAGCCCAGTTGCATTGTTTGCGAATGTCCTTTCTCTTCATTTTTCCTCATTATAGTATTTCCTTGACTTCGAAATAAAAGAAAAATAGTTCAGAAAAAGAAAAACCCGCAAAAATCACCGAGCCTAAATCTATCCAGGATAGAGGCTGCTCCAGACTTTGATAACACTCATTCTGCTTCTAAGCTGCTTTGTCTCTGATCCCAGTGATGTCGAATTATATGTGTGGGCGTGCAGAAAATATAAAGGAACAAGCAAACAGGATCATCAAAAGAAATCCTGGAGCACTCTTAGTTGGATGGGGCCTTTTCCTTGTAGTTTTCCTATCTTTGTTTCTATTGCTATGTCCTGGTTGACCAAGTAGAATGTGGAAGGAAGTCGGATTTCTTTGCTTACTCTTGGATTCTGCAGTGTGTTTCAAATTTACTGAGTTTACCTGAAATAGAAATGATATGGAAATTCCTTCCCCTGCCTTTTCTTTCTTATGGAAACAGTTCTTAAGAAACTGACTTTTTATTAGTTGCTTTTTTCTCCCAGTCCTGTCAGTGAGAAATAATTAAAAGGCTCTGTAATTTATAGCTCATGACAAACACTATGGAATGGAAAGTTCACCACTTGGGAAAAAAGTGAACGTCCCAGTTGAATAAATTAAATATTAACTCCTCCTTGTAAAACTGTTTCTGATGGTGATCCATTTCTTCTGAGGAACTAGCTGACATTTTAATTGCTAGAAAAGTCAAATATAAAAAAAAATGAGAATCAGCTGAGATGGGAACTGATAAAACTGGGAAAACTTGGATTTATTTTCCAAGCAGTGATATTTTGCTACTGAATTGGAGTGGACTTCTGCTTGTAGCTTTGCTCTTAAGCCATGTGCCCCTGGCTTTCTTAACCCGCTGATAAAAGGGAAACTAATCTCCCTAAGGAGCTTTCTTCTGTAGGGTAAAATGGCAGGAGATGAATGGCATAATAATGCTATGTCATGAGTGATATTATAATGCCATGTTGCTACTGCTCCATGGGTTAGCACACTGATGGATTTCAATCCAGTGACGGCCATGAGGGCCATCATCCCCTCATGATGGAGCTTTCCCAAAGATCAAAGCAGACATAGCTGAAAACTCAACCTTCTTCCTTCCCACCTTCCTCCTAAGAGCCCCTTCCTTCTGGGCTGATGAGGTACCCCCAAGGGATTACTTATACCACTCCCATGCCTTCACCAATCTCCTTTCCTCTGCTGATCTTAGACAGAGCAATGGTGGTTAAGCAGGAGGCTCTTTTGATTAGCTGGTTGCTAGAGAGTGGGACAGGAACCGATAGGCAGGGACAGAACAAGTGGTATTTTTACTGGAGGCTGTTTTCCTGCTTGGCAGTTTGACAGGAAACAAGTGCATCCTGCCTTCACGGTTGCCTCGGAGGCTTCAACCTGCAAAAGAGGTTGCCATGTATTGCACACATCTGGAAAATCGTCCCTGCCAGCAGGGGGGTGGGGAAGTTTACATTTTCACCTGAGTGAGATTATTTTAAGACTGTGTTGTCTGGGCACTCAGCCTTTTGTGTTCTGTGCCTTGCACAGGTTGCAAAATGAAACAGCAGCTAATGAAGTCCTTGCAAGCATCCAACACTACTTCAAGTCCCAGCCCTTTGACTTTAGGGATGCTCAAATCATTTCTGGGCAAGAGGAAGGGATATATGGATGGATTACAGCCAACTATTTAATGGGAAATTTCCTGGAGGTGTGTGAAAACAAATGCATGGGTTTTAATCTTGCTGTTTGTCCTGTCCCCTGTGGGTGGCAGCTTAAGTAGAGGTGCATGCCGACAGGGGCATCTGTCCTGTGTCATTCCTATTGTGTAACATATTAGGGAAACACCTATGAGATAATAGCTAAGAAAAGATTTGGGTAGCTGGGGCAAAACCTTGGATCATAAACAGCACCAAATGCATGAGGGAGAGGGAATATCATCACTCTACTAGCTAATAAGAAATTGGAGGTGGGGGGATCTAAATCTAACACTGGGCTATGGGTCTTTTGAAGGGCAGCTGGAGAGTGACCCTTCAAAGAAGTTCCATAGCCATCTGGAATTTACAGAGCCCTCAGGCAGTCTGCTTCCCAACTCATTCTATGTCCCCAAGTCTCCTTATAGTCCATTCCCCACATCCCCTACTCCTTTGGTGCAGAGGAAAGCTAACTCCAAGACACAGTCACCATGTTACAGAGGGCATAACTTGAGGACACCCACTACACCATATCCAGCCCGAGACCTTATTTGTTCCCCCTCAAATATATTTAAAAATTTTGATTAATTACAAACTGTTAGTGTTTTGGAAATTTCACATAGAAGTCCACATTTCTAGCTTCTCCTGACCCCCTCAGCCTTCAAAAGTTGGAAGAGCTGGTCACAGTGGACTCACATTCTTACATGGCAGCAACCAGCTGAAACAGAGTATAGCTCATGCACTCTCCGGTTTGCCACAGTCCTCACCATTCCCTATTATGTACGCCTAATCTACTTCACACATTTATGTTACCTATCCAGCCTCTGTAAGCATTTGAGTTCACTACCCCCAAAATAAAGGAGAGATTTGGTCCTGAATGCTCCCCCTGTCATACTTCTTAGCAATAAGAGATGGGTCTTGGGTCCAAGGTGGAGAACCCTGGGTAAACAGAGACAGTGCCTTTGGCCTTCTTTCTTGCTTCCTTTTCCCACTCTGCAGAAGAACCTGTGGCATATGTGGGTGCATCCGAATGGAGTGGAAACGACAGGTGCCCTGGATTTAGGTGGTGCCTCCACCCAAATATCCTTTGCCACTGGAGAGAAGGTGGGGCTGAACACCAGTGACATCATGAAGGTGTCCCTGTACGGCTATGTGTACACGCTCTACACACACAGCTTCCAGTGCTACGGCCGGAACGAGGCTGAGAAGAGATTTCTGGCCACCCTCCTTCAGGTACCTGAGCCGGGGCAGCAGGTGATCCCTTGGGTATCTTAGCTGAGGGGAGGGTGCCTTGCCTTCTGGGGTCCGTCCTTTCCAGTTAGAAGGTGGATGAAAACAACAGCATTTTGCAGGGGCCAAGAGCTGTCCGCCTGTCTGCCTGTCTGTCTGCCTGTCTCTCTCTGTTGTATTGACCGCTTCCAGTGTATTTGAGTCAGAAGTCCAGGGAAATTCCAGAGCTCCAGGTGTTTTATAAATGATTCAAGACCTGGGCTCCCTTTGTGGACATAAACTGTTTTAAACCAGTAGCTAAATAAGCCTGAGAATTTTGAGACTCCCCTGAGTGCAAACAAAATAATAAAAGTGGTCACAAGAGAAATGCTTGCTGTCAGGGGAGAGGGCAGAGCCCTCCCCAGACTCTGCCTCCATTTAGATGGGCCTGTATTAGGCAGGTTTGAAGCCTTTTATATGGTGGGATTTTAGAGCAGCCGAATTCTCACATCAGTCAGTAATTCATATGGTAACTGTTCCGGCACAGATGGCTACTTCAGGCATCAGCTGGAAGGCTGTCACCAATATAAACTTGACATTAGTGAAGTGTGTTTCAGTGAGCACTAGCTCCGTGCGTGAGACAGACCCCAGACCCCAAACTCTGGGACTCAGGAGACATTAGTCTCAGCTATGGTTGAGAAAGGAAGATGAAGATGAAGGGAAGAGGAAGGGAAGGGGACTTGACCACCTAGAGGGACATGAAGCCAACCAGAGGCCACAGATTGTAGCTTCTGATGGGACCCAGGGGCAGGGGACAAGGGCTGGGTCAACCAATGAACATAGTGGACACAGCATCAGTAGGTTAACCCCAACCCCTTCAACCTACTTTGGTAATTGAGAAAGGCAGCATTATTCCCCCACCACTAGCCTGCAGAAAAATTGGACTGGCTCACAAAAGTATCATCAGCAAAACTCACACCTTCAGACCCCTGCATGTACCAAGTAGTAATTACTGAGCCGGTGCTTCTAGAAAGTGAAGTGAAAGCTGCCCTGAAAGTACTGGGAAGAAATAAGTCACCAGAGGTATATGGGATATTGACAGAATTATTTCAAGCCACGGAGACTGAATCTGTCCAAATCCTAACAAGAATATGCCAACAAATATGGAAAACAAAACAATGGTCTATAAACTGGAAGTGCTCAATATACATCCGAATCCCCAAGAAAGGAGTGCAGGAACTATAGGACCATTGCTCGAATTTCCCATGCAAGTAAAGTGATGCTCAAGGTGCTGCAACACAGGCTTTTACCTTACATGGAGCAAGAAATGCCTGCTGTGTACACTGGATTTTGAAAAGGGAGAGACACACAAGATCATTTGTTTGTTGGTTACTGGAGTGCTCCAAGGAATTTCAGAAGAAGGTTAGTCTATGTTTTATAGACTACAGTAAAGCCTTCGTTTGCATGGATCATGAAAAGCTCTGGGCTGCTCTAAAAGAAATGGGTGTGCCTCAGCACTTGATTGTCCTGATGTGTAACCTGTATGGTGGACAAGAAGCCACTGGCAGGACAGAATATGGAGAGACAGAATGGTTTTCTGTAAGCAAAGGTGTCAGACAAGGGTGCAATTTATCTCCCTATCTGTTTAATCTGTACACAGAACATATACAGAAACTGGGCTAGACTCAGACGAAGGAGGATGAAAATCAGTGGAAGAAATATCCACAGTCTAAGATATGCAGATGACACCATCTTACAGGCAAAAGCAGCAATGACCTGAAACAACTTCCGACAAAAGTGAAAGAAGAATATGCCCAAGCAGGACAGCACTTGAACGTCAAGAAGACAAAACTCATGACCATGGAAGAACCACACAACTTTAACGCAGAAAATGAAGACGTTGAAATTCTTGAAGATTTTGTTTACTTTGGTTCAGTCATCAATTTATGCCTTTTTTTTTTTTGTGAGGAAGATCAGCCCTGAGCTAACATCCATGCTAATCCTCCTCTTTTTGCTGAGGAAGACCGGCTCTCAGCTAACATCTATTGCCAATCCTCCTCCTTTTTTCCCACAAAGCCCCAGTAGATAGTTGTATGTCATAGCTGCACGTCCTTCTAGTTGCTGTACGTGGGACGTGGCCTCAGCATGGCCAGAGAAGCGGTGCGTCGGTGCGCACCCGGGATCCGAACCCGGGCCGCCAGTAGCGGAGTGCGCACACTTAACCACTAAGCCACGGGGCCGGCCCCAGTCATCAATTTAAATGGAAACTGCAGCCAGGAAATCAAGCGAAGACTGAGACTCGGAAGAGCAGTAATCAAAGAATTAGGAAAGAGCACCAAGTGTCAGGAAGTGTCATTAGAGACGAAGGCCAAGATCATCCACACCCTCGTATTCCCAATTACTACATACGGGTGCGAAAGCCGGACAGGGAAGAAGGCTGACAGGGATAAAATGGATTCCTTTGAAATATGGTTAGGTGTAGGAGAGGTCTATGGATACCCTGAACTGCCAGAATGACGAACAAGTGGGTCCTAGAGCAAATTAAGCCTGAACTATTGCTGGAGGCAAAAATGATAAAACAGGCAGTCCTACTTTGGGCACATCATGAGAAGGCAGGATCCTTTGGAATAGACAATAAGGCTGGGAAAAGTAGAAGGCAGCAGGAAAAGAGAAAGACCAAATATGAGATGGATGGACTCCATAAAGGAAGCCATAGGCATGCGTCTACAGGAGCTGAGTAGGGCTGTTGAGGACAGGACATTGAGCACATCACTCATTCATAGGGTCGCCTGGAGTCAGAGCTGACTTGACAGCACGTGACACACATGCAAGGTGGGTTGTGAGAATTTGCCCTCTAGTTCTGGCTCACTCCCCAAAACTTCTCTTTCAGCCTCACGGTAAAAGCTGGAGCCCCAGTACACATGCATATGGTATGTATTATCAGGAGAGGCTGAGCACTGCCTGGGAAGGACAGAGAGGGGGAATCCTACAGGCAACGCTCAGCTACTCTACCATGCCTCAAGAGACTCAGCGCCCACCCCAGACTCTCATACACCCCCGACTCAGCCAAACTCAGTTCCCACAGGGAAATCAATCAACCCTCCCTAGCAAGGTCTCCATAACCACCACTCCTCCCCACTCACTCATTAAAGTATTTCATCCAACATGCTTTTTTCCAGGAGAGAAGCTCTGGAAAATTCTCTTTCCTGCATCTCCTTTTATTTCCAGCAATGCTTAATGCCCTTCCCTCCACCTCTGGCCCTGGCAGGGGTGGAGGGTGGGGGCTCCTCTGAACTTCACACAGGAGAAAGGGGACAGATGAAATCATCCTTTTCCTAGGGTGAGTGGAGTTCAGAGAAGCTAACCTCTTAAATTTGGCTGGCCTTGAGGTAATAAAACTCCTACAATGTTTATTAAAGAATGATTATCTATGTATGCAACAGTCTACAATAGAGAAGTGAATACTCCTCCTGTCTGAGGTCTCATTTGGGTTTGAGAACGCAGGTCTCAAGGTGTGAGCACAGGACTGGCGACAGAGGTGGGAAACCCCAGCCTCTCACTTTGGACGGTCAGCTCACAGGGACAGGGGCATCTCTCCAACTTGCCTGGTAACCTCTCAATGCCTGAGACGGTGGCTCTGCCTTCTAAGCCTTCTGACTCAGGTGAGCAGAAGGATCCAGATGTCATGAGGATCACCCGCAAACTCATGTCTGGACCTGCCTGACCGATACTTGCGTGTGCCAAAATACATGTTGCGAAGTGCCGACTTAGAAGGCTCATGCAGATTATTGCATCTTGAACACTGCCTGAGTAAATTCCACCAGTCTGGGTCTCATTTCCTCCTCTGTAATATCAAGGGGCTAGTAGTGTGGTGAGAATAATATCTGGATATGTAGTTTGCAAATTATTTTCTTATTAACAAATCTCCAGTCGCCCCAGGGCTCAAGTCTCACTCTGACAGCATGTTGAACATTAGAGACATGCATTCACTTTCTTTCTTTCTTTCCCTCTTTAAGTTAGATCTTTTTTCTTCTGTTTTTAAAGTAATACATGTTCAGTGAAAAAAATTTAGAAAATGCAGACAAAAAAATATAAATAATTTTTTAAAAAACAGAATTAACCACCATCAACATATTGTATTTTCTTCCAGTTTTTTTTTTTTTTTTTGTGCTTGAATATATGTATTTACAAATTTGGCTTCATATGGTATATATAGTTTTTCAGCTTTTTGTTTCACCTAACAATATATCATGAGCAATTTCCTGGGTTGTTAAACATCCTTTGAAATTATAATTTTTATCAGTGCATAATATTCCAAGTACCATTATTTAAAGAGAAAAATTATATTGGTCATTTTATTATAAAAGAAAGTACATTTTTATTGTAAAAATGTCAAACTGTACAAAAAGATGTTAAAGTAGAAATAAAAGAAGCTCCCTCCAATCCTTTTCACTGAGTGTCCTCACTGATCATAGCTTGATATGTTGTTGTTCTATGCTTTCTGGGTCAATGTATAACTTATTTTCTTTACTATTTAATATTCCAAAATTTATCAACCATTCCTCTCCTGATGGACACCAGGCTATGTCCTGTTTTACTGCTATGACAATAATATAATAAACCTTCTTGTACATACAACCTCATGAACTAGTGATTATACTTCTGTAGGATAGGGTCAAAGGGTAGGTATATTTTTCACTTAAATGGATAAATAGGCAATCTTCCAACAAAATTAAAGCCATTAAGATTCCCACCAACAATGTGGGACTTTTTGCAGTCAGAATTTCAAGGATTCCAAGACAGTCCAATAATAAGTATTTGGATGATGAGGATGTATTTCTGGATTTTCTGTTCTTTTCTGTTCATCCATTTGTCTATTCTTGAGCCAGTATCATGTTGTTCTAGTTGCAATAGTTTGCTTTTCTACTCTCAGACATTTATTCTGAACTTCAAAATCATTTTAAGTAGTAACAAAAGGAAAAATTTTTATTAAGATCATGATTGCAATTGCATTGATTCATATACTAATTTGGTAAAAATTGCCTTATTAATAATAAGAATTTCTATCCAGAATTATAAAATGTCCTTCTGTTTATTTAGTTCTTGGTTTGTATCCTTCAATAGAACTTATAGTTTTCATCACTGGTCCTGTACCTTTCTTTTAAATGTAGTTTCCTTGTGTGGGTGTTTGTTTGGTTTTTTTTTTTGTGTGTGAGGAAGATCAGCCCTGAGCTAACATCCAGTGCCAATCCTCCTCATTTTGCTGAGGAAGACTGGCCCTGGGCTAACATCTGTGCCCATCTTCCTCCACTTTATATGGGATGCTCCCACAGCACAGCCTGACAAGCGGTGCATCGGTACACACTCGGGATCCGAACCCGGGGTCGCCAGCAGCCGAGTGCGCGCAATTAACCGCTAGGCCACGGGGCTGGCTCCTCCTTGTGTGTTTTCTTCATGGTTTCAATCACTATTGAGGATAGTTTTGATCACTATTATTTCCATTTATAACAGGTGTTACTCTAAGATCAGATTGTGTTCTAGTTTTCTGGTGGACTTTTTTCTCTCAAGCCCACTGGTTGACCCTTTCATGCAAGTGTCCTGCAAACACTAAGTTCAGGGAAGATATATTGAATGTTAAGGGCCTGAGCCACTTGGCACATTGTCAAATTATCTTTACAGAATGCCATAACAAACAATTCAAACTCCAGAAAGAGAATAGAAATAATCTTTGCTGAGCTTCTTCTATGTTCCAAGCCAGAAATAATTTATATTGTTTTGCTTCTTCCCCAGGCCAAGCCAGAACTTATTTTATTTTAGTTATTTAAAACACTGAAGTCAGATTTGGAGGGGGAAACTAAAAACCAGTTGGTTGATTTGATTTTTTTTCTTTCAACCAATATTTCAGCCATAGGGTGACTTTGGAGTGATATGTTACAAATTAGACACAATAATTTTTGAAAATAATAGATTTTTTTTCACACTATTGAGGCAGAAAGGGACCTGTTTGCTGCCTCCACAGAGTTACATGAAGGTCTTTGTGGAGGATGCTCTTGTGAGTTATATTGGATGGGGGTTGGATTTCTGTGGGATTCTGTGCAGAATCCTGTCACTCACTTTTGTTAAATGACTACATTATTTTGCTGTGTACCTCACTTCCTCATCGTGAAATGAATGAGTTGGGCTAAATGTTGTCTGAGTCAAGAATTTACTGTAGGGGATACAATTGTAGGTCCCTACCACAGTCTTTATACGAAATAAATTACGAAAGGATCAAAGACTTACATGCAACAAGAGTATGTATTGCAGCATTGTTTTGTCAGGTCAAAATCATTGGAAACCACCTAAATTTTCATCTAGAGGGAATTTCTTAAATAAATTATAGTTTATTTGTACAGTGGAGTGCTATGCAGCTGCTAAGGAGAAGAGGCCCCTCTACATGTACAATGAATGAAAAGATCTCAAAGATATATTTTTAAATAAGAAAACAGTGTGTATAGAATACTACCATTTATGGTTTTGAAAAAGAAAGGAAGAGAGAGAAAAAGAAAATATATTTGCTTATGCATGCAAGAAGTATACACAAAATCTCTGGTAGAATATACAAAAACTGGCAATGGTTACTTCCAGGGAGGGGAGCTGGTGGTTGGAAGTGGGTGAGAGGGACACTTAATTTTCATAATATATATCTTTGAACTTTTTGGATTATTTGATTAGGTGAAGAGATAACATCGTATTCAAAATGGTCAGTTAATCAAAACAGATCTTGTTTTCTCATCAAAGTAGAACTCATAAAACCTGCTTCACAGGGCTTTCTTAAGGGCTGGAGCAGATGACGTGACCAACAACCTAGCATTGATTTGATGGGGGTGGGGGTGGGGGGACAGTTACCCATGTAGGTGCAGGGTAACTGTCCCCCCACCCCCACTTGAGTTATCCAAACAACCTGGGAGTTGCCTTCAAGTACACACTGACACAGAATGGCATTTTTTCCATTTCTCTTTTGGCATTGGAGGGTAGCGATAGTGAGAATTTGCAAAAGGGAAGGACTTGGTCCTCCATAAAAGAGTGATTTCTAACGCCTCACTCTTGTACCTACAGAATTCTACCACCAAAACCAGTCTCACCAACCCCTGTTACCCTCGGAATTACATCACCAACTTCACTGGGGACCGCATATTTGACAGCTTGTGCACAGAAGGCCTGAGGCCTGGAAGTTACGAGCCCAGTGCCATCATCACTTTTGAAGGAACCGGGGACCCATCCCTGTGTAGGGAAAAGGTGGCTTCCCTATTTAACTTCAGCGCTTGCCATGACCAAGAAGACTGTTCCTTTGTTGGGGTTTATCAGCCAAAAGTTAAAGGGTCATTTGTGGTAAGAGCAAAATCCACTGAAAGATTCCTTTCTTCCCCATTGAATATTTATTTCTCACCTTTCTGTTTCTCTTCTGCTGACCTGTTTCCCACTTTCTTATTCCCATTCCGAGAACTAATTTCCTTCTGTACTACTTCCTTACAGGCTTTTGCAGGATTCTACTACACAGCCAGTGCTATGAATCTTTCAGGTAGCTTTTCCCTGAACTCCTTCAACTCAAGCACCTGGAATTTCTGCTCACAGAGTTGGAATCAGGTCAGTATTTAAAGAGAAAGGATCAATATCAGCACAAAACAGTAGAGAGGACTGTATTCCATTTGTGTGCATGTGTGTGAATGGCCTGAATGTGGCCCTTATTCTGTCCTGCTGTCACTACATCCTTAAAAGGGACTCATAGGGGAACCTACCTCACACCCACGTTGTGATTAAGGTTCTAACCACAGGCTAGAATGGTTGGAACAGTGTTTGGCACTTAATAAGCACTCTGTAAACTCAGAGATTGTTCTTCCGTGATATTGTATAGGGATATTTTCATTATTATATAATTGTATTATTTTATAGTAATTTTATTATGAAATTCTGGGGATAAGATTCTTTAAAATATGACTGTTGACCTAAGGTGTTCTGAAATGTGCATTTTAAAGCATGCCTGCCCGACCTCCCTCTTACCTGTTTTGAACCTCATCCTCAGCTCCCGTTGCTGCTGCCCAGGTTTGATGAGGTGTACGCCCGCTCCTACTGCTTCTCAGCCCACTATATCTATCACTTGCTGGTAAATGGATACAAATTCACCGAGGAGACTTGGCCCCAAATACATTTTAAAAAAGAAGTAAGTCAAAGCACAAATTGTTTTCTCTTCTTCCTCTCAAAGTAGTGGTTTGTGTGCATGTGAGTGAGAGAATGTAGAAGATAAAAGGGTATTGGTGATTTCAGCTTGCTGAACAGAAGCCGATGGGACTGTGATCACTTGTGAGCTTCCCAGAAGAGATGATGGAGAATTCAGAGGAGGTGTTCACTGGACACCCTTCCACATGGTAAAGGATTGGAAGCCAAGAACCTGTGGACTCTGAGTTCTGCGAGGGCAGGACTTGTTTTATCATCCTTGTATTCCTAGCATTCAGCACAGGGGCCAGAACCCGGAAGATGCTTGGCTTGAGTGAATAAATAATTATGTTAAAGAGTTGAGACTTTTCATCCTGAAAAGAAGCTTCAAATATAACAATAACTTTTTTTATGAAGATAGTAACTAATTGCTCACAGATTTTACACAGATGCCAGAATAAGATAGAGCATGAGGAATTTACAGCAGCACTAAGTAAGAATTTTCTCTTGGGATGCAATTGAGGTCACTGTATTTCCTCTCAAGTGTCCAGAATGGTCTGAAGCTGGAATCACAGCTGGTCTCAGTCACTCTCTGGACCTTGTTTCCAGGCAAGACTCAGCTTTGCTAATATGTTCATCCAGCACCGTGTTCCCCAGGTTCTGGGAGGGTTTTCTCATGTCAGGAATGACTGATAGAAAGCCTGAAGTATGTCTGGAGTTGGTCTGTTCAGTATTAGCTTCAACAATAATTAGATTAAACCAATCAATATCCAGCATTAGGCCTGTGCCTGTCTACTTTTACATAAATAAAATTGAGTCATCTACAAAAACTAAGGATGTCTGGAGACGTATAAGGCCTGTTGGTAGCATGTGCTCTCTAAGCTTTGCTTCTAGTGAATCTAATTACCAGGAAAGTACATTATGAAAACGGAGAATGACTTTCCCTTGAATACCAATTTGGATGGATACAGAATTCTAGGCTTGAAGTTCCTTTCCTTTATTCGTAAAGGGTTTTGTATCCAGCCAAATTAGTATCCAAAATGTGAGGGCATAAAAAGACTTCAGAAGATTGGCCGCACAAAGACTTACGTTGAAAATACTTTTGGAGGAAGTAATTAAATAAGAAGAAAAATAAATCCAGGAGATGTTATAAAAATAGAGGAAGTAAGAATAAATGATGTTGTAGCTTAAAATTTAGGTTAAAAAAATAAAACTAACACCAAAGAAAAGTAAAGGAGAAGAATCCATTTGTAACAAGCCAGCATTCAAGTACAGCTAATATCCAATGTGATGGGGGCGGGGTAGGGGGTCATAGGATACAGGGACATGAAAATGGCCTAAAATGCTCATCTTGTAAAGAGGAATGTATATCTGTATCATTTTTAAGGCAAGAACGGAAAAAAATAAATATAGGAAAATAGCACCAGTGGAAAATTTAAAACTAAGATATTAGAGAGAAGTTCAAATATATCAATAATCGTAATAATCATAAATGGACTAAACCTACCAGTTAAAAGACAGACATTGTCAGATTGGACTTTTAAAAATCAAGTATATGTTGTTTGTAAGAGAAACACTTAGGCTTTATGCCTCAGGACCTGGAAAGATAGAAAGTTAAAAAAATTTTTTTAAGTATCAAACAAACACTACCCAAAAGAAAACTGGTGTAGCTATTTAATATCTGACAAAATAGTCTTTGAGATAAGAGCATCATTTGAGATAGAGAGGATTCCGACATAATGATAAAAAGTTCATTATGAATATTGCAAATTCGAAACATTTATATGTCTAATAAAACAGCCTAAAAACATATAAACAAAAATTGAGGGAACTACCAGAAGAAATTGACAAAATCTGTTTCCCATTTAGACTGACCCCCTGTTCTAAGAAACTAGTCCTGGGTTCAATAAACCCTCTTTCTTTAGCCATGGACACTTGTGTACCCGACAACAGAAAAACTGTCACTGTTGTTAACTGTGCCCCCTTCACGCTTGGTTATGACAAGGTTGTGAGGATTGGTTCTTCTGTTTTCTCTGCAATGCCAGAGGTAGGGCCTTGAGCCTTTGTGGTCATGGTGACCTGGGTTCTAGCCCAGTCTCTGCAGTGTCTGAATATGGCCAAGTCTTTTTACCTCCTTAGGCCACAGTTTCCTGTGGGTGTTCCATGAGGGTGACAGTAGTGTGCCCCAGGTGTGTAATTCCCGCCTCGAGCCCTGCACTGGGAACTGAGCCATCTCCTCTCCTCCACAGGTAGGGAATAGCAGCATAGCCTGGTCTCTCGGCTACATGCTCAGCCTGACCAACCACATCCCAGCCGAAAGCCCCCTGATCCGCCTGCCCGTGAAGCCATCTGCCTTTCTGTGCACTGTCTCCTTCTTCTCAGTAGTGACCTTGCTGTGTCTGGCGTTTTTTGTGTACCTGTGTGCATCATCCAGGAATCAGAGGCGTGCCCAGCATACCTTCAGTCATGCGGTGGATTCTGCGTGAGCCTCGCAAAGCAGCTCCTGGAGCCTGAGGGCTGCCCATAACCAGCCTGAGTGGCACCAGACAGTGCAAACAAAGTGTCCATCTTCAGGAAACACAACTAAAGTGAGATGCCTAGGTCACGTGCCTCTCAGATACTGATTTATGCCAAAGCATCTCTTGGGGAGTCCCTCAACTGTTCTGTGCACATTGCTCTGCCAGAGACCCCACCACCTACTTGCTGACCTACTGGGGAACAGAGAGAGGAGAGACAGGCCATCAAGGTTAGGGTCTTTATTTGAAGTGCCCCAGAGGAAGAGTAAGTTGAGAATAGGACAAAATGTTGAAGAATTCTTAATGTTGAAGAATTGACCTCAGGGCTCAGTGTGCATTTTTCCTCCCTCAGAAATGCCATATTCCTCCAGGCAAGTTTGGAAACTGGCAGACACCCATTAAGCATTTGGCCCAGTCAGATATCTCATTTTATGGCTTCTTCCCCTCGATCCTTCACTAAGACTTTCCTTTCACAATCCCATAAACCTTGAGCTCCCTCAGATTGGTAGAATATAGTATCTGGAGGAGAAGCGTCCTTTACCCTGACGACAGTGGCCATAGCGAGGCTTCTGTCATGCAGGCAGAACCTGAAGGACAAAGACACACAGAGAGTGTCCCAGGAAACTGCAGGCCATTCCCAAAGTGGGATTCCCACGCAGAGCTCTGGTCATTAGATTGCAGCCTGTATGTCATCGGCCACACCGCCCCTTCACATTGCTGTGTCTTCCTATAAAACACTTACTCCTGGTGAGACTATTGTGTTCCCAATATTTTTGCCTTTGCTAGGCTTTTGCTTAGAGCTGTCTTTTCATTGTTAGCATGATATGTGTGTTTTGCCCACCATTCCCCCAGGTGTACCTGATGCTGTCACGAGACATCCTGTTCTATGATTTGCTGACCAATTACTTTCCTAGATCATAGCCGTTTCTGCATAGTAGCCATAGTTCTTGATTTGGGGGAAAGAAAGGAAGCTGCAGGGACATTTAATTCCAAAGTGCGATGGGAAAGAACTCTAGCGACTCCAATGGCTGCAAACTAAAAATCAACATTATTTCAGATTGTTGTTTGTCGGCTGAATACGGAATAAAGCACTCTGATTTTGACTTGCAATGTGTGTGTTTGTTACCCAAGGTAGTATTTATCAGAGGAAGTTTTGAAAATTTTCTTAAGCAAACTTTCCTAGTGAATTAAGAAAATCATGCATTAATATCACCTTTATTCCAGAGAGTTCCAAGTGCTTCACTTTAATAAGCTTTTGGCTCCTTGAGATAATTGAGTCAAACATTTCTTTACCTTATTTGACATTCAAAGTTTCTGTGAGGCCACAACTCACCACTCAGATCTTGATTCCACCAAGAATGGCTACACCCATTCCAAAATGCACCTTTGCTCACACAGTTCTCCCTATCTGACTGTGGGTCATCCTCCCACCCATCCAAATAATGCTTATTTCTCAAGGCCTCATGCTAGCTCTACTTCTTCCACAAAGCTTTCCTTACACACACACACACACAATGATCTGTCTCCTTGACTACCTGTTAAAAACTAGTTATATAATTTCTTATGTTATTATTTATTTTTGTGTGTGCATATGGCTTATTTCTAAAATAGACAGTATGCTACTTAAAGGCAAAGCCTATCATTCATCATTCACTCATTCATTCAACAGACATCTAAGAAATACCTACTATGGGCCCAACACCTTGCCAGGTGTGATCTTGGATTTGGATAAGTGCTATGAATGTAGTGTATACTTAAAATATTTGTTGATTGATGTTATTTCCATATATGACAGAAATGAGGGGTAGACAATAAACTATAGAGATATCAGATAAAAATAGCATCTAAATGTCAAGAGTTTGCAAGAAAAAAGGATATGTCTGTGCAGGAAACAGGGCCAAGGTTCCAGGAAGGCAAGTCGTAGTCAACGTCTCTAGCCCATTTGGGAACTTGGAATAAGCTGATGAAGTATTTTGCGCTTTCTGACATATATCAAAGAATTCTTATGAGATGGACCATCATGAAATCTGCAGTCCAAGTAACATATCTAGTACTACTGTGGTAGGCAGAAGTCTGAAATTGTCCCCATCACCTTCGCCCTCTGGTGTTACTGCCGAGACTATGTTGTTATGTGGTGAAGGGGATCTGCAGATGTAATTACTAATCAGTTGACCTTAAAATGGAGAAATTATCCACATAGGCCTAATCTCATCACATGAGCTCTTTGAAAGTAGAGTATTTTCTCCAGAGGAAGTCAGAAAGATTCAAAGCATGAGAAGGATTTGCTAACTTGAAGGTGGAGGAGGCCAGGTGGAAAGGGCCTGGGAGCAGCCTCTAGGAACTAAGAGCAACCCCTGGCTGACAGCCAGCCAGAAAACAGGGACCTCAGTCCTGCAACTGCAAGGAACTGAGTTCAGCCAACAACCTGAATGAACTTGGAAGCATGTTTCCCCAGAGCCTCCAGATAAGAGCTCAACTCAGCAGACACATTGATTTCAGCCTTTTAGACCCTGAGCAGAGAACCTGGGTGAGCCCACCCAGATTTCTGACCTACAGAACTGGGATATAATAAGTGAATGTTGTCTTAGGCCACTAAGTTTGTGGCAATTTGTTACAAAGCAATAGAAAATTAATACTACAGAACCCAAGCCCCAAGCCTCCAACCAGAGCAAGTGCTTACATTTGCAATATGTGGTGAACATAAGAGTGAGTAGTATCGCCAAGTGTGCCCATTCCTTCCAGTAACGATGCAAGAAAGGAATGGGCTCAGAGGTAAAATCACATGCCAACATCACCCAGCTGGTAAGCATTTTTGGAGGTGGAGATTATGAGTTGAGATTCTGGCCTGGTGGAGTCTGAAGCCCGTTATGTCCACCACATTTCCTTTCACAAAAAAAGATAGTATCATGTGGCAGTTAGGAGTTTGGCTTTAGAATTTTGTCATCCAACGTACCCATTCACATACAGACACTTTATTTATGACAAAGGTGTCACATCGGAGCAGTGGGAAAAGATGTGGGACAATTGGGTTTCCATATGGAGAAAAAAGAAAATTCGACCCCTACCTTGTGCCATTTTCAAAAGTCATTTCCAAGTGGGTTAAAGACCTAAATGTGCAAGATAAACCTATAAAGGTTTTACAATAGAATATAGGAGAAAATTTTTAAGATTTCGAATAGGGAAGCATTTCTTTTTTTTTTTTTTTTTTT